GTTCCGCTTCGCATCTCTCAAATCTCAGCATCTCAGTTTCAGTCGTCATAATACCACATGACTTTTGCCTTTAAGAGCTTACACTTCATTTCATTTCTGATAATCTACTACGATTACAGTACACACTCCAAAAAAAACTCTTAATTTCCTAAGGCAGTATTTATACGTAATGCAATCATATCGCTCCCGGCACTACTCATTGCACAGGTTGGTAAAGTGCCACTAACCAGCTTGAAGAGAGCGAAGTTATCAGCGGCTGGCCACTGCTCGACCTTCCGTCACGCGTGCCGCAGCTATGACGTCACCAGCACGCGCTCGCGTCCGCGCCGCCGGTGCGGATCAACGGAGAACAAGGACTCCGATCTGCGGTTGAGCCGTTTCTCAAGGGCTTTTCTTCAGTACTACCTCTACTGCATACCCAATGAGCGACCAAACCATTGCACCATCTGCCTTCAAGAAAAACTAAAAGAACAGTGATGACGCTTCCAGAAAGGAATTACCACATTAAAGACTTTTTTATAATTTGTCATCAAGAGTTGCCACTCCATGCAAAATTTCATTTTTGGTAATGAATATATAATTCTCCGGTTCCGATAATGCAAATGAGCAGTTTCACACGAAGAAGACTCCTTTTTCTTGGACTATTTCGCACTGTTAATGTTCCAAAGCTGCCCATATACATATGGGATTCGCATAACATGTATACGTCATCAGTAATTTATTGTAATTGTGCATGGAGTAATGACTCTTGATGTCAAATTGGGGAAAAGATGCGGAAGTACGCGTTTGCTGTTGGCTGTTGTCAGTATGTTCAATGAAGGAGCTGATGTCGATTTTTTAGTGGTGGGAGTGAGGGTTAATGCGTGATTATTGTATGAAAAAAACCAAACCCGCAGCAAATAAGATGATGTCCCTCTTCTGCAGATGGAGGACTTATACAGCTGATAACCGTTTTTTTTCTGCACGTTATTGGGCACGGCATTTTTTCTCCAGTGCTTCGATCGCCTTCAAGCGTTGTTCGAGAGGCAGATTGACCGAGATGTCAACATAACCTTAAAGGCAGAGGGTGCGACAGGCGGAGGGGTTTGATGGTGTCGTTTACCGTCATTGGTGGTAGGGCGTCAGGTGGAGGCCCAAACCACGCCCTCCAGCTCGCTGATTGGTCTGATCGATCAGTAGCGCCCATTGCCGTCACCGCCTCTCCGTCATCGCATCCACTGCCTTTAGAATTCTTCTAATAACGGAAAATGAAGAAAAGAGTTTGCAGTTTTTTAATCGGTAGCGTATCTGGAAACCAGCCGAAACATCAGTTTTTGTTCTTTTGTTCGAGTTTGTCATAGCACCTTCGAAAAATATGTACTAATAGCTTAGTAAATTGAGTGTCTCCGTTTCAGTATATCTCCGACAAGTGTTCTGAACACAAAAGAGTGAAAAACGATCAAGACTTGACTGGAACGGGCAATCAGTTGAATCGATTCCCGCAAAGGGCTTGCAAGGTAAGCTTATGGCTGGTTTTTAACGAAGAATTTGTTTCAACAGATACTACGTCCAATTTCAAGGAATGGATTCTGATTTTGTCAAAAGTGGCTGGAACCAGGGTCAAACATCCGTAGTGGCGTTGTTTATACATATTTCATGAGTTTTTTTATGAAAATTTTGCTGACGCTTAGAAACAAGCTCTCCTCTTTCATTCAATCCAACCACTCAGCTTGCTCTACTACGACCGAAATCCATAGAAATAAGTGGTTAGCTCCCTTGGGGGGTTCGTGAAGACTCGCTAGTTTGTTAGTGTTGACGATATCCATTTTACAAATAAAAAAACATTAACTTTGTGGTGACGTTACGGTAGAAGCGTGCGATAACTTTGTGGTGACATTACGGTAGA